AAACGTTTTGATCCCGCAAATCCGGCTTTTTGAAATAGTGACGACTCTTCGATCTTTGAATGCGCCTCTTCGATTTCTGAGCAGGCGCCCCTTCGATTTCTGAGCAGGCGCCCCTTCGATTTCTGAACGATGCCCCTTCGCTTTCTGAACGACACGTAGTAGTGCGGATGCGGCTCTGTCAGAGATCTTTTGACAAGTGGCACGCGTTTTCTGAAAAGCAGAGAAAGCGTCGCCGAACTTTGCGCTTATCGGCTAAAGATGTGTAGTTGCGATGATGGCCTCCACGTGTTTCCTGAAAAGCCGGGAGCTTTTGACAAAGTTATACGCTTTATCTGAAAAGCCGGGAATGCGTCTGAAGAGCTGGCGATCTTTACGCCGGAAAATCCGGCTTTGAAAAGTGGTGTCTCTTCATTTCTGAATTGGTGATTGTGTCGCCTCTCCTTTAATAGAGGTGATCGATCACCTCTATCATGCACACTTTGAAGATTGCTCATTCCTAAAAATCATCTCCGGCCCTTTGAAATTTTTCTCCATCCAACCCTTCTCTTTGAACACCTTTGAAAAATGGCTAACTCATCGAACCTTTGCTTAGATTTGAGTCTCAGCAGCGATCCGGTTGCGCCCCGTCAAGGTAATGTATGGCACCCTTCTTTTTTATCTTTTAACGGTCCTCTTACAGGTGAAGACTCCATAATGACGGATGCAACAACAGCTACGATAGTAGCTCGGAACCTCCTCACTCCCAAAGATAGTCAGCTGCTTTCAGGACGGTCCGATGAGTTGGCCGTTCAAGAGTCCCTGGCTCTCAGCGTTCAGTGCGCTGGCTCTGTGTCCAACATGGGCCAACGCTTACTTGCTCGCTCCCGTCAGGTTGAATCGTTGATGGCAGAGATGGAAAATCTTAAGCAGGAGATCAAACAGCTTAAGTACGAGAATAGAAGTTTGCACGTGCTTGCAAATAACTATTCGTCAGGCATGAAGAGGAAGCTTGATGAGCTGCAAGAATCTCAAGGTCGAATGCAAAGTGACCGTCAAAGGCTTGCGTCTTTCTTCCAGAGGCACCTTTTTCCTGCGTCATCTAGTGTTCCACCAAGTATTGGGGCCTGGAATGATCTATCTTTGGTGCCTCCCGCTCCTATGCCTCTCGCTCCGATGCCTTCTGCTCCGATGCCTTCCGCTCCGATGGTTTCGCCACGTAGTGGGTCTTCACGTAAACAACCTTTGTGAAGGCTACATTCTTTTATTTATTTATTTTTTTTTTCATATTGGAATCAAACGGCATGGAATTGATCTTTGAATGGAAGGTGATACTTGAAATGATCCGGTAATGGTTTAAATTCAAGATTGGATGCCTGAATCATTAACAACATGTTAGTATAAAAGAAAATTGAAATTGGAGGAGGTGGCTTACTTATGTGATCCAATAAGAACTCAAGAATAAACACCCCTTCTTTGAACGTTTCAGGGACTTTGCACTTGGTTAGATTTGATGTGAGGATTGGTCCTTGTCTTGTGTCATAAAATTCAACTTCTTTGGGGTTGTTTATCTCAAGAACGTCCTCTTTGATGAATTCATGATATTCCCTACTTTTCACCTTTGGAAGAGCTTCCAAGGTGTCTTTTTCACTTTCTTCTTCCTTGGAATTCATGAACCTGCAAGGAATAGGGATTTTAGGTGGAATGGGGTTAGAACTAATTAAATTTGGAACAACCTTACTTGAATTAGATGGCGTATGAGTAATAGGTGCCTCCGGCAAAGGTGTTTCCACTCTTGCCGTGGGTTGGGTGTATTCCTCTTCCTTGTGATTTGATTTTGATGGTTGAGGGTCCGTTCCAACCTCCTTGCTACTTCTCAAGGCAGTTTCAAATCCTTCCTTCGGATTTGCAATGGTTGAAATAGGGAGTTTGCCTTGGTCTTGAAATTGTCCTACGAACTCCGCGATCTGCCCAATTTGCTTTTCCAAGTAGTCCAACCTTTTGTCTTGATTTTGCCTTACTTTGTTTTGATCTTCTTGCCCCTGAGACAAATTGGTGAGTAACTTACTAACCGTATCATTATACAAAGACTCACTTGAATTTGTTTGGGCAGGTTGTGGTGGCTGCATAGGTGTTGTATAGAACTCCTCATATGGTTGCCAATATTCTCCTTGTTGAGCCTCCTCTAGTTGGTTTTGTGAGCCCTGCACCAAACAAATTAATTCATTAAGCTTTTGATTATAATCTATTGACGAACTTGAGTTTGGTTGGGCATATTGAATATGAGGTGGTTGCCAATATCCTTCTTGTTGAACATTTTGAGGTTCCCACCACATAGAATTTGAATGATCACTCCAATCTGAATTGTAAGTATTGGAAAACACGTTATTCCTTGATTGAAGATCAAATATATCAACGCTTTGCATTTGTGACCTTTCCATGAGCTGTGACAATAGAGAAGCATTATCAAGTGCCATGTTGTGCTTCTCTAGTACTTGAAATCAACAAACAAAACACAAATAAAAAACTAAAACTAAAATACATAACAGAAACGAACAATCCAAGGGATTAGCAAATTTGCTAATCCCCGGCAATGGCGCCAAAATTTGATGCGAGATTTATACGCACACAAATTAAACCCTCTTTTTGACAATTGTAGTAAGTATGTAAGTAGGGATCGTTCAGGACCGGGGATTAGGAGGGATTGTTAATCACTTGGATTTCACTCAAAAACGTAAAAACACAATATAAAACACTGTACTAGACTCAAAGAATGCAAAACTAAACTTTAAAATACTAAAACAAATCAAAAGACTCAAACATCACCCAAAACACTCAAAACTGTCTTAAAAACACTTTCTGGGCAGTTTTGAGCATCTTGGTGAATTTGGACGAATTTGTGCTACAAATTGAATCAAAACACTTATAAACACAAACTAAGACACTTTCTAACTAATTTGGACAATACAAAGACTCAAAGGACTCAAAACAAGTTCAAAAGACTCAAAACTGCCTAAAAACACTAACTAGGCAGTTTCTGACCTTAAACCCAATTTTGGACGAATTTAAGTTGTAACTTGACTCAAGACTCTTAAAAACACAAACTAAATTGATTTCTAACTAATTTGACAATAAAGTAAAGGGGGATTTAGGGTTTGACGAAATTAAACTAAATGAACAAATTGCAATTAAAACAGAATGTAAATATGAAATGGATGAATTGGAATGAATGGATGCTAGCCAAGGGGTTCATCTCCACACATGTTACACTTGCATAATAAAAAGATTTCCAATTGCATTTCAATAAACCATGAATTCTCAACACCCCAAGTTAACCGTGATGCACTAATTAACCTTCAAATCTTCCTAACGTTATTGAATTGGATGATTGCATACGACAACCCAAAACATTCCCCACAAGTCCCCTACATGATTGCATAATAGAGATACAAGCAAGAATCATTACGCTCTATAAAAATTATAAGTGTTGACGAGGCATTCGTTACTATGATTGCATGAAACTTATGCCAAGAATTTGTTTAACGCGATTGTTTATAAGCAACCTCCACTACTTGTGAATATAAGTTCGTAACTATTAGGTGAAACTCACTTATATTCTAGCGTCATATTCATGCATGAAAATTAAGCATGTACTCTTAATAAACATACATAAATAAGTTATCAATCAAACAGTTAAACAAATTGAATCCACAACTTATGAAACGCAATTAGAAGTAATCAAATCAAAATGCAAGTATAAACATATATTTCGAATCCCCCCCTAGCCAAGGGGGGTTTAGTTCCTCATACGTACAAAACAAAGGGAATTGAAATTAAACATTGAATTCAAAGGAAAAGAAACACCTAAACATTCCAACAACTCAAACTTGAATTGTATGAACGTTTAGGCCCGCTTCTCTTCCTCTTTGTTGTAGCACAAGGTCTAAGGTTAGTTTGATGGTGTGAATGGTTTGGGAATTTCTGAAAATGGAAGAATGAATGAGAATGAATCAATTGTGGCTGCAATGGATGCTTATTTATAGGTGAAAATGAGGGAATATGACAGCTAGGAACTTGGTGGAAATCTGGAATGGTGATGGGAGATGCATGTGGCTGATTTATGCATGTGATTAAAGTGGAATGACAGCTAGGTTATGATGATGAATGCATGTGCAAAGTTGGTTGAATGATTATGGGTGCATGTGGCTGATTTATTTGAAGGGAATGCATGTGGATTAAAGTGGAATGACAGCTAGGTTATGATGATGAATGCATGTGCAAAGTTGGTTGAATGATTATGGGTGCATGTGGTTGATTTATTTGAAGGGAATGCATGTGCAAAACAGCTAGGAAAAGTTGTGGAATGGCTTTAAGCATATGCAATCCATTTAATGCCCCAAACTACTCCATAACTGAATTCAAGCCTTTCAAATTCGTCCATCCTCATGCCTCCATGCTTGCACTATCCAATCTTGGCCCAAAAATGCTCTAGAATGCTCCAAATTGCTTCTTTTTGCATACTTTGACACTAAAACCTGAATTTGCACGAAAATAACTTTAAACACTATAATTAACATAGTTTAGCTAATTAAATGCAAGAAAACAAGCTAACTAAGTCGTATAAATATGCTCCTATCATCGATGCGGTTTCTCTTAAATTTATTGCGAAAACTGTGCAATTCAATTTACATTGGTTTCGGTTCGGTTCATTGCAGTTTACGATTCCGAATACTAAATTTTGAATACCAAATCAAAATGGTATTTAAAGTCTACTTTTTTTGTTTTTCCTTGTTTTTTGCATGCATGCATTCAAATTATATTATATTATATATATACTAAATGCCTAACTTTCCTGTTAATTTCCTCTGTGTCCTTTTTACTGTTCTTTCGCCAGTGTTATTCTTTTTTACCCTTCAGTTGTTCTGTAAGTTTAGCTTTTTGTGCATGTTATACAGTAAAATACCGTTTTTGTCCCTGCTGTGCGATAGAAATCTCTCGATTTCTTCGTGTTGTGTGCTTCCAGCATCTTCCACTTTTCACTTTCCTCTTTTGTCCTTCTCTTTTCGTTTCTCTCATCCTAGAACGGAAGAACGATGGAAAATCAGGGTTCTTCCATTTGCTTCCACATATTTCTCGATCTCTCTCGAGCTTCGGATCCCTAGCCTCCGTATGAAGGTTCGTTTCTCTCTCTCTCTCACTTTTTTTTTTTTTTCAATTCGTGATCGAATTTTCTTTCCAAGAATGTTACATCTGTTGCCTTCAGGAAGAAAGTTTAAACCTAAAAAAGCTTGGTTTTCAGGAAATCGTGAATCCTGCAGAATCCTTGGGTTTCCTGGTGAGTTCTCTGGCATATTTGTTTTGGGTTTGGTTTTTGAATTCTCTTTTCTTTGTTCAAATTTTTGTGATTTTAAAACCTCTCGGTGGCTACAGATTTCATCGGCTATTTCATCAGTTTTTGGATTCGATCAGGATCGGTTTTTTACCCACGAAATCTAGAGTCTTCTGGTAAGTTTCGTGACTTTCTCCGTGTTGCTGTTTCAAATTTTGTTTTTGTGGTTTTCGATGTTCACATGGATTTTTTGTTTGAATTTTGTATTTGTGATTTTGCGGGTTGTTTTGAATTTACAGATGGCTTTTTCTAGGTTCGGTGAATTTACAGGGGAGAGGGAGAGAGAGGCCTGTTGATTTAAACTCTTTTGCTAAAAGCTTCTAATTCATGCTTTATTTCTTTTTTCATTTTGGCAAAATTTTTGATGGATTTATGTATTTTTTTTTCCGTTGAATTCGAACTCCAATCTGAATTATGGATTCAGAAAAAACAAATTGATGAATTTTTTATTTGCGTGCATATCGGTCCTGTAACCGCATGATTTGATAATCCGACCGCAAAGCTAATCGTTTCTGTATGTTTTTGGGTTGCAGACCTGGACTGTCGAATGGAGAGGATGAAAAGCAACTGCAGGAAAGCGGCAATGGAGACCCGGCATCAGCATTTTCAAGTCGATCTGGGTAATCTCATGGCCTTCGACCCTCATCACAGATTCCCCTCCATCCCCTTCTCTAAGTTATTTTTCTTTACTTATTCAATATCTCTATTTTTTGGTAATATTTTGTATACTTCTGGGCTTTTTGAAATTATTGCTTTTGAGAAATTAATTGAAAATTTACTTTTGGAAATTGGGATTTTATTGGGATTAATCCCATCAGTAAAGTGGCAGTCATAAGTGAAATAATGAATTTATCACACTATGCTGATGGGTTTTTGTTCAATGGGTGAAATTCTGATTTGTTTTTTTCATGGTATTTAGGGAGGAATTAGTGAAGGAATGTATAAAGAGAGGGACCGAGTTGGTTTAAGCTATTGCGAATAGTCTTTTCAACTCACATTCAACTGAAGGCATAGACGGTCCCATTGTGCACATGTTCGCTTCCTGAAACTAAGCTGCCAAGATAGAAAGCATGTGAGTCATTCATCTTATGATTCTCCAACGATTTTATTTTATTTTTTATTATTATTATTATTATTATTATTATTTTTTTTTTTTTTTATGTTTAATTTTATTTTTTAGGTTTCATCATGTATATGAGCATTTGGTAGTGAAACATGTATAGTGCTTCACAATTGAAAAGAAGTGGAATGGTAGTTTCAAGTAACTGTCGAGATTTTTGTTGATCCTCTTTTGTTGTGCTGCCAATTTACGGTTCCTATCATGTAAATTGGTTGACTAAAATGTTAGCGTATGCAAAAAGCCTTTTGCCAAAACAAAGGGTAAATCATTACTGACACTGTAGGAATTTTGAAACGTGTAGGTGGACCGTATTTGATTGAGAATAAGATACCGTGCAATATCGATTTTGGCATGAATGTTGGGGATGAGGTATATATCTTAAACCAGATTACTTGATTATAGTTAAATTAACTTTTTTTTTCTTTTTCTGTTATGTAGCTGAAGCAGCTAAAGTTGAGTGTTTTAATCGGTTGTATATATCACCCAGTTTACCTGTTCCTACTGCTGCTCAACAGGGACGAGTTTCACAGCAGGTGAGTGAAAATTCTGGGTTCTTAATTTTCTATTTTCTGATTGAAATTGGATGGTATATCTGATTCAATTGGAAGACTAAGCTAAAAGTACAAGTGGTATTTTTTGGTTAATTTGTTGGTTTTTTGGATGGCTCTTCTGGGTTGTTGTTAATTGTATGTTTTCTGATTGAATTTGTCATCAATTTATCCAATGGATTAATGAGCTAAAACTACAAGTGGGGTTGTTTTGATTTTTGGGTTGTTTAATTTTCTGTTATTTTATTATGGGAAAATAAGGATTTGAACATGTTAATTAGCTAAGAATTAGTTTACATTGGACAATATATATGATTTTGGATTCGTGTTGGTGTAGCTAGGGACAATTATATCTGTGGATAGATGTTGGGTTGGAAGGTCTACTCATAAAGAAGAACAAATCTAAGAGTAGAGTGAAACTGAAAAGCAGCCAAACTTAAATTGTAATTTGCCAAAGAGCATGATTGACCCTTTGTTTTATGAAAATCTCATTCTTATGTACCCTTATGTATCGGTAACATGTATTCAACTTTAAAACTTTATCCGAAACCATTTGGTGGGTGTTTGGAATTTTGGAATTAGATTTTCAATTTGGTTTGTGAATTCCTAACTTTTAATCTCATTTGGGTCTAAGCCTTTAGCTGTTTTTGTTATGAAATAGGTCGTTGATTGCATATTGTTAATTTGATACATTCTGTTTGTGTTAGCTCCAATTTCTTTCTTTAAGAAAACCACTTGGTTGGTTTTAAGTTTTTTGTACTTTTCGTTGTTCTGTTTGCATAAAAACATGTTTTACAAGCTTGGAGACTGATCTGAAATCATTTTTTGGAGACCGATCTGAAATCATTTGGTGGATGTTTTTAATCCCAATTGGAGAAGACTCTTTTTGCTCTAAAGTTTGTTATTTGACAGAGATTGCAAGTATAACATGGTGTTGTGTTGGATTAAGGATAACCTGAATACAGGACAACTATATAATATGGTTCAAAATAATGAAATGTCGCACTCAACTGCCACCGCATAAATTCAAATCTAAACTTCTGTTGTAAAATAAAAGGCTAATGTAAATAGACAGAGACAGAGGAAACCTATAATGTAGAATTGGCTCTTCTTCTTCTCTGAAATGTATATTGTTTGAGAACTATTATCAATTAACTTATTTTTGTAATTCAACCTATCTATAAACATCTTTGCGTTTCTGTAATTGTATTTATGAAATTAATCTTTGGTTTAAATTTGTATAAATGATCTGTGTTGGCAGTTTAGTTCAGTCTTTTGTTATTTTTAATTGTATTATAAAGTTGAAATATGTGCTGGTTATAGATTTTGTGTTCTGCTATATAGACGATTTTTTTAACTTTTGGTCTCTGACATGGTTTCAATTATAGACGATTTTTTTTTCACAACATAATATTACACTTGCTGCTGCTTTAGAAGAGTTAATTTCTGGTAGACAGATGATTATAGTGTTGTTCCTGTTATGCATAAGGTCGTGGTTATAATATTGTGAGATTTTGTGTCTGCATAAATCCAGTAGTGGTTTTGATAATCAAAAAGTAATCTCTCAACTTATCATCAGGTGCTTAAAGATTTGAGTTTTTAAAGTGGTTCCACAAAACCTGTAAAGTGGTTCCACAAAACCTGCAAAGTGGTTCCACAAAAATCTGCAAAGTGGACGTTATGTTGCTTGCAGCAGTAGATTGTTCTTTTCTATTTAAGTTGTAAGCTTTGCTTTCTATTGCAGCAGTAGGTTGTTTCAAACTATGTATTACATGTGTATTAACATTTTCTTTCATTTTTAGCTTTTTTTTTTTTTTTTCCTAATGATCAAAACTATTTTTTCTGCAGTGACTGCATCAACCAAAAAACTTTTGCTCATGTGTTAAAGGATGTTGGCATCTGTTATCCAAAACAAACAAGTATGGGATCACAATTTTTTGTGTGTAAATAGTTGATCCAAACATGAATTATCAAGGTGGAATACTAGGTTAATCATTTTTGTATACTAATAAGGCATTTGATAATGTCTTTTCTGTAAGTTAAATAAATTTTGACAGCTTTGTAAATATATTTATTCCATTTTCTGTTTAGTATTTATAACACTTTGCATATTTACATGTTAAAACATACTCTCATAGTTATACCTGCAACAACGTGCGGGTAAAATTTGCTAGTATGTTACAGACAAACATATCATACAAATACTAAATCAAAATGCAAATGTCCTTGACACCAAGCAAACATAAAAAAAAGAAGAAAAAAAAAAAGAAATACAATTCAAATGTACATATACATTCATAATAGTACATCCATTATGCAGTAAGAATGTTAGCACGAATACAATAATTCAAGCCTAAAAGGAACTCATCAAGAGATTAAAAAAAAGCCAAAGGAAAAGGGTAAGAGAAAAAGGATGTAACTGAAGACTTTAAGATCATTCTATCTAAGGAAAATATGAAATTGAAACTTGAATTTCAAATTTGGAGATCTAAATGACATTTTTTTTTTCTTCCAAGTATGTGTTTTATCTCAAGAGGTGAACCATGCAAGTGAAAGACTTAAATGCTCCCATGCAGTTTCACTAGGTGAAACCAGTTTGGTTTTCACTACTCATTTAAGCCTCGATTGGCCGCTCGAATTGTACTGACTATTTCAGTTGGATATGATAATTTGTCGTTGGACTGTACTGACTAAATTTTTCGAACATTTAATGCAGTATCATACTAATAACTGTATTATTTATAATGTGTTTGGTACCGTACCAGATAAGATCTCGGATTATATTATTTTTACGAAAAAAATTTGATGACTAATGAAAGAAAGGGATTCTTTTTTGACAAAAATTCACAACAACCGAATGCATCAAATTAAAAAAATAAAATAAAAATAATCTTGTTTGTCATTTTGAACTTTGATATTGCATTTTCTATTTGTCCTTTATTTAAACCAAATTATTAAAAAAAATCCTTTCTTCCCAGAGCTTCTCCATGTTAATATAGACAGGGGAAGATCGTAGAAGGAAATCAGAATCAAGAACTAGAGAGAGAAAGAGAGAAAGAGAGAAGGTTTTAGAGAGAAGTTGTAAGCTATTGTATTAATCTTTTTTCTTAATCTCCAAGCTATTACAATGATGTATTTATACACAAGACTAAATCTCTAACTGACTATCTAACTAAGAGTTATAATCTTTTGACAACTGTCATGATCCTATCCACTGTCTATATCCTTACATGCCCCCTCAAAGTCATGAGGAGATGATCCGAGCATGAGGTTGAAACAATGAGACTTAAAAAGAGGAGCACTAAGGCCCTTAGTTAAAATATCTGCAAATTGTTCTCGAGAGGAGACAAACTGAACACAAAGTTGCTTCTTAGCAACCCGTTCACGCACAAAGTGTACATCGATCTCAATATGCTTCGTGCGTTGGTGTTGAACCGGATTTAAGGACAAAGCTATGGCAGACAGATTGTCACAGAAGAGAACAGGAGGAACAACAGGCTTGACATGCATAAATGCCAGGAGTTGTTGAATCCAATCAAGTTCAGCGGATGTAGTAGACATAACTCTGTATTCGGCTTCCGTCGAGGAACGAGAAACAGTGGGTTGTTTCTTGGAGGACCAAGAAATAGGGTTATTGCCGAAGAAGACAACCAAACCAGTGGTAGAACGCCTATCATTGGGATCACCAGCCCAATCGGCATCACTAAATGCCTTCAGTAGTAAATCTCCTCGAGTATAAGAGATGCCAGCAGACAGTGTCCCCTTTAGATACCTCAAAATCCTCTTGACAGCAGTAAAATGCGACACCATTGGAGATTGCATAAACTGGCAGACTTGATGAACTGAGAATGCAATGTCCGGTCGAGTGAAGGTGAGATATTGTAAGGCTCCAACTATACTTCGATATGCTGTTGGATTATTGTAGGGAGTGCCATCATCTTTAACCAACCGATTGTAAGGCAAACAAGGGGTATCACATGGCTTACAATCAACCATCTCAACTCTCTGCAACAAGTCCAGTATATATTTGGACTGAGACAAAAATAATCCCGTAGCAGTTTTGAGAACTTGAATGCCCACAAAATAATGAAGATCCCCCAAGTCCTTGATGTCAAACTCAGAAGTTAAAGAGGTAATCACTTGTTGAATAGCTGACTGAGAACTGTCAGTAAGAATAATATCATCGACATAGAGGAGAAGTACCACAATGTCACTGCCAGCAAGCTTAACAAATAAAGAAGAATCAGCATATGTGGATTGAAAGCCAAGAGAGGGATGAAAGCTGGCAAACCTGTCATTCTAGGCTCTAGACGCCTGTTTTAATCCATATAGAGACTTGTGCAATTTACAAACCAAATCAGGATGTGCAGGATCGCCAAAACCAGGAGGTTGAGCCATGTACACTTCTTCATTTAACAAACCATGCAAAAACGCATTCTTGACATCCAACTGGCTAAGAGTCCAATTGAAGTGAGTTGCCAAGGCTAGAACTAACCTCACAGTGGTTGGTTTAACCACGGGACTAAAGGTTTCACCATAGTCCAAACCAGGCTCTTGACTGAACCCTTTAGCAACAAGGCGAGCTTTATGCTGAGCCACTATCCCATCGGAGTGCTTTTTGAGTTTGAAAACCCACTTACAGCCAACAAGGTTCTTGTGAGGAGGCAACTGTACAAGACTCCAAGTGTGTTGGTTATGCAATGCATCAACCTCTTCCTGCATTGCTTTGGACCACACAGGTATCTTCATTGCAGATTTATATGTTGCAGGTTCCACCAAAGATAAATCAACATCAGAAGATGCAGCCACTTGACTGAGAAAGGCCTTCTTCTTAATGATTCCATTCTTACTTCTAGTTTGCATAGGATGCATATTAAGTGGAGCAATTGGTAACACCACTTGAAGTAAGTTCGGACTAAATTCAGAGTCCACAGGGAGTTGAGAAATAGAACTTGCAGGAACAGTAATGGACTGAGAAGAGATACTGGGTGGAGGAGGGGATTGCTCAGTAGGTAGAGAGGATGATAAGATAGGTGAGGAAGAGGAGGACATAGGGGAAATTGAGGAGGAAGTACTAGGTGGGGGTGTGGGTGAATGAACTAGGACATTGTCCATATTAGGAACTGGAAATGGTGAGTATGGCCGAGAGGTAGGTGATGTCACAGGTGTGGACTTTGGTAATGCAGACAGGTGACAGTAGGGAAATTTAGACTCATCAAACATTACATGTCTAGAAATGTAGAACCTACCTTGTAACACATCAAAACAAATGAACCCCTTATACTTTGAGGCATACCCAAGAAATACACACTCTTTGGTCTTAGCTTGTAATTTGTTCTGAATATAAGGTCTTAATAGAGGAAAGCAAGAACACCCAAACACCTTAAGATGAGTCAAAATAGAAGGAGTACCAAAAAGTTTTTCAAATGGTGAACAATTATTCAAAACTGGTGTAGGCATGCGATTGATCAGATAGACAGCAGTTTGGCAAGCAGAGGTCCAGAAGGAGGAGGGTAATTTGGCAGATTGTAACAAAGTGACAGTGATCTCAACAATGTGTCTATGTTTTCTTTCGGCCAAGCCATTTTGTTCCAGAGTATAGGGACATGATCTATGGTGAATAATACCTTTATTGGTAAGAAACATTTGAAGTTTATGGCTACAATATTCACCACCACCATCAGTTTGCAAAGTTTTAATACAAGCAGAAAATTGAGTTTGCACAAAGGAATAGAAACCAACAAAGATGTCAAAGAAATCTGATTTATTAACAAGAGGAAACAACCAACAATATCTAGTGCACTCATCAATGAGAGTTACATAATACTTGTAACCATCAATGGAATTACATGGAGATGGACCCCAAAGGTCACTGTGTACAGTTTCGAAATGAATTACATATTTGTGTGCACTAGACTGAAAAGGCAGTTTAGTAAACTTGCCCTCTAGACAACTATGACAGAGCATAGGAACAATATCCTTTGTACAAGAAATATGAGACTTACTAAGCATGATAGAGGCAGTGGTATTTGAAGGATGCCCTAACCTACTATGCCAAAGATTAGAGCTAACAAGCTGTCCAAGCAATGCAGAAGCTTTAAAATGCCCTTGAGAATGACCTGGAGAAAGAAATGATGGATTGGAAAGAGATGGAATGGGGTATAGTCCATTACTGCATTGGCCTTTGTACAAGACCCTCCCTGTGGCTTTGTCCTGGATCCAGAAACAGTAAGCATCAAACACTAACCAACAGTTGTTATCAAGGCAAATGCGATGAACAGATAACAAATTTTGAGACAACCGAGGCACATAAAGAATGGAATTCAATTTGAGTGGTTTCACAGGTGTTTGAATGATAGAGCTACCAATGTGTGAAATTTTCAAACCTTCACCATTAGCAGTTTGCACAGTCTCAGTAACGGGATAAGGAGATGCCAAGGACAAATTGCTGAAATCGGCAGTCATATGGTTGGTAGCGCCCGAGTCAGTAAGCCAAATCTGTGATGGAGGAGCTGAAGATGACTGAGAAGAGACTGTGTGCAGAGGCTGGATATTGGATTGAGTAGGTGCGGAAGAAGCATACTGATGGCGAGACATCTGAGAGTAGTGTGGACCACCAAAGTTGGGACCTTTGTCATTGAAAAAACAATACCAGGTGGTATGATTTGCCTTGCCACAAATTTGACATCCTTGTCTTTCCAACTGTTTGGAGTTACAAAACGGAGCAGTGTGGCCAAACTGATTACAGAGTTGACAAGACACTTGCTGCATAGCTGAGTGTCCAATAGACTGTGAAGGTGAGGGTCCTAGCACTCCAGAGAAAACAGGTGCTGATGGTGAACCGTGATTAGGAAACTGTTGTCTAGGACTCGGATTAGAATACCGATAGCCCTGATTAGATTTACTTTTACCCTTCTTGTTGAAACTAAAGGATCGAAATCCACCAGAGGAAACATGCTGAGGACCTGAAAAACCCGAATGAGCACCACCAGATGGATGGGATTTAGGAGCAGAGTTACTAGCCACCATGGCAGACAAAAAATGAGAATTTTCAGTACTGTCCACAATCAGTTCTTCAGCAAGAAGCGGCACCCTAAATTCTTGGAGAG